CTTCTGTCTCATTCACCATTACACCAAGCATAGTGCCTGGCCGCAGTAGTGCTCAGTTAAGTCCTGCTGAATCAATGTTGCTCAATTTTAAGTTCTCATATGAGATCAGCATAATACTGATACCAAAAACGGACAAAGGAGAAAAAAGAACCAGAAACATACTTAATTTTTGTTAATCGTTGTTTTTAGAGAAAGGGTCTTGCTCTGTTGTCCATGCTGGAGCGAAGTGGCATGAACATAGCTCACTACAGCCTCAAACTCCTGAGCTCCAAAGATCCTCCTACCTCAGCCTCTCAAGTATCTGGGACTACAGGAATGAGCCACCAAACCCAGCTGATTATTTATGTTTTATACATACATACCCAAATCCTAATTAAAATAGTAGCAAATTAAATTAAACAGAAAAATCCTGACCGTAGGAAGCTTTTAGGAAAAGTGATTCAGTTTCCTTCAACACAAAAAAGCAAGATGGAAGGAGAACCTACAAGCTGAAAAAGATCTTAAAGACTACATCTCAATCAATTACAACTTACAGACCTTATTTGAGTCCCAATCCAATAAAACAATAGGGAACATGAACACTACATGAATCTTTGATAATTTGTTAAAGAATAAGTTCAGCTTTCCCATCTTGCAAGATGGCGGGTGAAAAAGTTGAGAAGCCGGATACTAAAGAGAAGAAACCTGAAGCCAAGAAGGCTGATGCTGGTAGCAAAGTGAAAAAGGGTAACCTCAAGGCTAAAAAGCCCAAGAAGGGGAAGTCCCATTGCAGCCGCAATCCTATTCTTGTCAGAGGAATTGGCGGGTATTCCCGATCTGCCATGTATTCTAGAAAGGCCATGTACAAGAGGAAGTACTCAGCGGCTAAATCCAACGTTGAAAAGAAAAAGGTTCTTGCAACTTAGAAAACCAGCTGGTGGTGACAAAAACAGCAGTGCCCGAGTGGTTAAACTTCAGAAAATGCCTAGGTATTATCCTACTGAAGATGTGCCTCGAAAGCTGTTGAGCCACGGCAAAACACCCTTTAGTCAGCACGTGAGAAAACTGCGAGCCAGCATTACTCCTGGGACCATTCTGATCAACCTCACTGGACGCCACAGGGGCAAGAGGGTGGTTTTCCTGAAGCAGCTAGCTAGTGGCTTGTTACTTGTGACTGGACCTCTGGTCCTCAATTGAGTTCCTTTGCGAAGAACGCAACAGAAATTTGTCACTGCCACGTCAACCAAAATTGATATCAGCAATGTAAAAATCCCAAAACATCTTACTGATGCTTACTTCAAGAAGCAGCAGCTGTGGAAGCCCACACACCAGGAAGGTGAGATCTTCAACACAGAAAAAGACAAATACAAGATTACAGAGCAGCGCAAGATTGATCCGAAAGCTGTGGACTCACAAATTTTACCAAAAATCAAAGCTATTCCTCAGCTCCAGGGCTACCTGCGGTCTGTGTTTGCCCTGACAAATGGAATTTATCCTCACAAATTGGTGTTTTAAATGTCCTAATAATCTAATTAAATAACTGATTACCTTAAAAAAAAAAAAAAGAGTAAGTTCATTTCTCACAGTTAGGATAATGCTATTATAGTAATTTATGTGATCTTTCAGAAATATACAAAAATAACTTAGATTAAATGATATGACTGGGGTTTGCTCTAAAATAACTGAGCAGAGGGTATGTATAAAATTGACAGTTACTGGAGCTGTATGGTGTTATGACATATATGTGTATGTGT